TTTTTATTACCGACCGCAACAACGGAGTACGTTTCTTAGTGGACACAAGCGCCGAGGTGAGCGTTATACCGGCGTCACAAGCTGAAAAAAAGAAACCTAGTACATCGCCCTTGCTAGCTGTCAATAACACGGTGATAACAACATATGGCCATCGTTCACTGTCGCTGAACTTCGGTTTCGGCAGAACGTTTAGCTGGGTGTTCATAGCTGCTGATGTCAAATTCGCAATACTAGGCGCAGACTTTTTCCAGTTCTTCGGTCTGTTGGTCGACGTCCGCATAAACGGCTTCAAGATCCCGTTTCTCGGGGAGTGGTACAAGGCACGCCGTGTTGGCACCCCCCTATCAGCCCGGCCTTGCTCAGTCCGGCTGGAGAAGCGTACTTCACCGCAATACTACAAGAGTTCCCAGAGCTGACACGACAGCCACAGGCATTTCCAGAAGTAAAGCACGGCGTCCTGCATCACATCGAAACCACAGGCCCACCGGTCTATGCGCGACCACGGCGCCTGTCACCCGAGAAGCTGCGGTTGGCTCGACAGGCGTTTGCCCACATGATGGAACTCAGGATAGTACGTCCTTCATCCAGCCCATATGCGTCACCTCTTCACATGGCCCCAAAATCAACAGACGGTGATTGGCGCCCTTGCGGGGACTATCGAGCGCTGAACCGGGTAACCGTGCCAGACCGTTACCCAGTCCCACACATTCATGACATGACCTCCTTCCTGCATGGTGCTACCATTTTCTCTAAAATAGATCTAGTGCGAGCATATCATCAGATACCCGTAGCACCGGAGGATATCCCCAAGACCGAAATAACAACGACGTTCGGAATGTTCGAGTTCCTACGCATGCCTTTCGGCTTTCGCAATGCCGGCCAAACTTTTCAACGGTTTATGGATGGCGTTGTCCGTGGCCTCGATTTTGCAAGGTATACCTCGATGATCTTCTGATTGCTAGCAGCACTCCTGAAGAGCACGAGCGGCATCTGCGCTACGTACTTCAGCGACTGACAGAGAACGGCATCGTTATCAATACGGCAAAGTGCGTGTTTGGGGTACCGACACTATCATTTTTGGGCCACAGCATTTCAAGTGCCGGAGTACAGCCCCAGAAGGACAAGGTGGAAGCAGTACGGCAGTTTCCACAGCCGAAAAACCTCCGCCAGCTTCGAGAGTTCCTGGGACTCGTGAATTTCTACCGTAGGTTTATCCCGAAATGCACCAACATCCTTCACCCTCTCCACAGCCTACTTGCGGCATCTGGATCTAAGGCAACTGCCATTCAGTGGAACGACCAATCCACACAAACATTCCGGATGATAAAGGAAGCTCTCGCAAATGCTACCATGCTCACGTACCCGCAGCTGGGTGTTCCTCAGTGCGTCATGGTGGACGCCTCCGATGCAGCGATTGGAGCCGTGTTGCAGCAGAGGGTGAGCGGAGTGTGGCGACCGATTTCCTTCTTCTCCAGAAAACTGAGCCCGTCCGAACGAAGGTACAGCACCTTCGGTAGGGAACTCCTGGCTATATACGCGGCTATCCGGCATTTCCGAGATTATGTGGAAGGACAAGAATTTTTTGGTGCTCACGGATCACAAGCCACTCACCTACGCATTACGCGCGAACTCCGATTCTGGTGCGCACGTGGCACGGGAGCTCCGCCAAATGTCGTACATCGCAGAATTCACGACAGATATACGCCATGTTAGTGGCACAGATAATGCTGCTGCCGACGCTCTTTCGCGCGGTCTAGTGAATGCCATCAGCCTGCTGAGCGGCGTGGACTTCACCACACTTACGACGGCTCAACGCAGTGATGGAGAATTGAAGCGTCTACTGACGTCTTCAACCAGCGCCTTGAAGCTGCAATGGTTGGAAGAACCCACAGGATCCGTATGCTGCAACATGTCTACAGGCAAGGCCCGACCGTTCGTACCCTCGAACCTCCGTCGCAGCATTTTTGACTTGCTGCACAGCCTGGCGCATCCCGGGATTCGAGCCACGCAACGGCTATGCACAGCGAGGTTCGCGTGGCCAGGAATAAACCGGGACGTCCGATACTGGACACGAGAGTGCATCGCATGCCAGCGCTCCAAAGTTCAGCGACATACTGTGACCCCCTTGGGATATCCTTCCCTCTGCCGGACTGTCGATTTGCCCATGTGCATGTTGACATTGTGGGACCACTGCCATTGTGCCAGGCGCAAAGCTACTTGCTAACCTGCATCGATCGCTTCACGCGATGGCCGGAGGCCGTGCCCATTCCAGACATGACTGCTGATACCGTCGCCCGCGCATTTATCTTCCACTGGGTGGCCCGCTTCGGAGTGCCGGCAACCATGACTACGGATCGCGGAACACAGTTTGAGTCCGCCCTGTTCGCAAGCGTCACCCGGCTCTTGGGTACTCACCGCATCAGAACAACTGCCTACCATCCGATTAGCAACGGTATAGTGGAAAGGTTCCATCGCCATCTGAAGACGAGCCTGACGGCTACTTCGAGTCACAGTTGGGTAGAGGCACTGCCGTTTGTTCTGTTGGGCGTTAGGACGGCTCTGAAAGCGGATATTGGATGCTGCTCCGCTGAACTGGTGTACGGAACAACGCTTCGCCTCCCAGGGGAGTTTTTCACTACCAGTAAGGACGAAAACGTGTACGCGAACGCGGACTACGCCGTGCGACTGCGAGACATCATGAGCAAGCTACGTGCTGTTCCTCCGCGTCCGCCCACAGCCCGGCCAGTCTACGTGGACTGGGAACTCTCCTCCTGCTCTCACGTGCTTGTGAGGCACGATGCCGTACAGCCTCCACTCCGGCCCCGTACGACGGGCCTTTCAAGGTGCTGCGACGGGCAGACAAGCACATTACAATCGACAGAGGTGGTCGTCACGACGTGGTTTCTCTAGACCACGTAAAATCAGCACACGTGGACTCCGACAGTGAAGCACCTGCACCACCTAGAGCTCCATCTTCGCAGGCACACCCGGCAGACCACGTAGCGCAGCCCCAACAACTCCTCGAGCAGTTCATGCGGAGTGGACAATGTACGAGACCCCCGGTGCGCATGAACTTATGAACCGTAGTGGGTCGTCCGAGTGCGGCCGTTGTGCGCGCACTCACTAGGGGGGGGGGGGGGATACTGTGGCGACGCAAAGCGGTGCTTCTGTGTGCGGTGCAGAGAGCGCATGCGCCCGCACAAGAAAGTTATCTTCGAGAGGAACGGTGATAATAAAAGTCAGTTGTTGTTTGGGACGCGAGTTGTTCACTTGCGCAGCTCTGCCGAGCGACGCGTCACAACAGTTTCATAAATAAATTATCTAAAGGCACTAAAACTGCGAGAGCGCAATACGAAACTGGCTGTTTACAGCGTATATTGCATCCCGCTGATGACGCGCTCATGTTTAGCGATACTTCATGCGCCAGAACGACGGCCAAAGCAAGAATATGCTCAGGCAAAAGAAGAAAAGCAATGAAAATGCCTATGAACCAGGGGTTGCACAAGAGTAGTTTGTGCTTGAAGCGCTGGCAAACTAACCTTCGCGCTGCGTTGGCTGGGAGCAGCAATGCGTCGCTTCTATGATGATGATGATGATGATTAAAGGCCTCCCCTTTGTATCGGGGTGACGGCATGCGCCATCTAGCCTACCTTAATAGTTCGAGTTTAAATTTTGTCCCTCAACTCGGATGTCTTTTTAATTTTCCCCAGCCGCTACTCTTGGCTGGGATGTTATTTTATCGACTTCTCTGCTTTTCCTCCAGCCGCTGCTTAGTAATACCTACTGCTGACCAGTTAATGCTTCCATCAACCGCGAAGCCCAGCGCCTCAGGAAGTGTGACCTTCCCCCCATTTCTTACCGACTGAATCTTTTGGCATTCCATGACTATGTGGTCGATTGTTTCCTTATTTATGCCACATCCAGTACATGTCTCATCCTGTGACGAATATTTGCTCCTGTAAGTTAGAGGTCTCAAGCAGCCAGCCCCAACAGGATATCTGACTTTAAGCATAATACGGCATTAGAGAACGTGAGCGCCGGCACCATTACCCCTTTCCAGATGCCTCGTACTACCTCGTACTTATTGTGTCCCCAAAGTCCTCTATGTTTCATTACTGCTGCATTTCGTCTCCCTTTCAGTTTGAGGTGTTCTTCATGAGCATTCAGGTAGCCTTTTCCTTCATTAAGCCAGATCCCCAAGTATTTGTACTTATTTACTAATGGTATGGCTTCCTGTTGTATCCTTATTGGTGCTACATGAGCTTCCTCGTTGAACACCATGACTCCAGATTTCTGTGGGTTAAAATGTAGGCCTAGGTACGTTGCCTCATCACCACAAATGCCAGCCAGTTTTTGAAGTTCTTCCGCATTATCCGCCAGCAGCACTATATCGTCTGCGTACATCAATCCCGGAATCCGTTGCTCCACTAACACTCCATTGCGTCGGTGTGACAAATCAAAGCCCAATCCACTCTCCTCTAGTCGTCTTTCCATTCCTCTAATGTACAGTGTGAACAGCAATGGCGAAAGAGGGCACCCCTGTTTTAAACCACGACCTCCTCTGGTCGTGTTTTAAACCTCTTCGAATGTACACGGGCTCTGTGTATGTACGCCCTTCCCATGTAATGTGTGCCTTGTTATCCTCATATATTGCCCTTAGCAGCCCTACAAATTCTGACCCAATCCCCTCCTCTTCCAGTATATGCCTCAGCAATCCCCTGTCCACGTTGTCATAGGCAACCTTTATGTCCAGAAACAGTAGCCATGTTGGTCTGCCCTGTGCTGCCGAAATTTCGATGGTCTGGGTTATGACGAAAAGATTGTCTTCCAAGCGTCGACCCGGCCTAAATCTATTGCAGGTGGTTGTGGCGCCATCTACCAGGTGAAATATAAAGTGTGTCAGTGCACGGCCTCCAGTCAGCCCACTACCCCTTTCTAGAACACTTTAGCGCCGTCTCGTAGAACACCTACCAGTTTGGCCACTTCCTCCGTGAGTTTGGCCGTCTCGCCTCGCGGTATTGCAGTTCAGTACGCCGCCGCTACGTATTTGCATGTTATTTTGATACAACAGCCCAAAGGTACAGTTTCTGTTCTCTAAACTGTGTTCTGTGGTAGAACCGTTACTGCCTTTCCGTGAAATTCAACAGTGTCAGTCGCTGTTATTTCGTCTCGCGTAATGTCAAGCGTTTCCGACGACTTCTACTGTCAATTCTGCGGTAGTACGTCTGGTCTGCGCCGATGCGCGCAATGCCATGGCATCTACTACTGCAGCAAGGAGCACCAGCGTTTGCACTGGCCTGCTCACAAACACATCTGCAAGCGTGGCAACGCGCAGGTACGAGGTTTCTGTTATCAGTGTTAACAAGCACCACTCTGGTGCTTGTTGTTAGTGCGCAAGTGAGAGTGAGCATGTCATCGCGAAATAGCAGGCGCACATTCACGAGCCTAATCGTCGCCTATTTTCGGCAAGGCTATTGGGTTTGCGACACTATTGTCACCGATGTGCGCACATGCCGAGAGCAGACGCGCCGTGACCAATATTTATGACCATTTTGATGTGTCTTGCGACGCCATCTATCACGGCGAGGCTGCGTGTGGCAGTTTAAACAAGCACTTCTTTGCACGAGTTCGCATCCTTGCTTTATAATCCCCCCTTTCATAAACATTGGAGTTAGCACGTTAAGCAGCAATTGTCACTCCCATTTTTCTGGCATAGGCATGGTGCAGTCGAGTTTTCCATTGTGACAACAGCGCCAGAACGGAAACAATAGGGAGTTTTAAAATAGCGCACCGCAAGCCCTTGCGGTGCAGTCGCTGCCACTGCAAATGCGTCGTAACGCGAGCCGCCGTTCGCGGCCCGCCTGCAGAAAATCCAAAATAGCGGGCGGCGTGTGAGGCCCGCATGCGTTCCACGAAGAGCTGTGTGTAGCTTCCGTGCATTTGGGTTTGATGTCGGGAATCAAACATTATTTTAAAACTCGTACGGCGCCCGCAACTAAAGCAACGCCCGCAACACCTGCAAACATTATTCTAAAATTTCTAAGTTTCTGGGTGTAGCGTTTGCGTATGGGTGCCATATGAGTTCAAATAACGTTTGTCCCCCACCACCACAAAGGGGCTCTGCGGGCCGCACGCTATTTCGGATTTCTTGTGGGTGGACCACAAGTGCGAATGGCAGTACCGCACTGCAAAGGCTTGCGGTACGCTATTCGAAAACACCCTGAGGAGACGGGGTTAATCAAAATGAAACACGATGCGCGAGTCTGGTCTCCGCATGAGTGGGGCCTGCTCGGGTCTGATCCCGGCATGAATGGGCTGGTGGATGGCTGCTGGCGTCCTCAAGCCCCTGAATAAAAAGTAACGCCAACTCTTCTCTCCTCATTCTGTGGCGTTGTTCGCTCTCTCTTCTTGCAACCGTGGCTCCACCTATGCGGCACTTAGCGAGCAGACGCTCTCTGCATCAAACGCTGTTGCCGCAAATCGCTCGCGCTTGTCAGCTGGTATTGCGATAAGGTTTTTTCATATGAAGGTATTACTGGCTGCCGAAGCCCGAGAGGACATCATAGACAGGCTGGCATACAGAGAGAAAAACTTTATTGGCAAGTGTGTTAGACCCCCTTGGGTATCTGGACCACCGCACGGTCCCATGTTATGTCTGCACGGCACGCATGGCCGTGCCTCCTCGTTGCTTTGTGTTTGTGTTTACCCCCATGCTTTCAGTTCGCGGAACAATCATGAATTACCAACTAACCCTCCCTTCCATCCTATTGCATGCATGCCTCTCATCACAATGACATTGGCAGCCCGAGTTACAGCAGAAAGCTGCAACGTCAGGTGACATCGAAATGTTGTTGCGCTTGGGTGGCTTTGTTATTGGTGGCGAGAAACTACCTCGCAGCATGGTGTTCTTTATCAGACTGCTGACAGCTACGGTTATTTATTGGCGAGATGGCACAAAGAGAAACACGCTTTCTCGAAGCAACAGGCGCTGTGCTGAATATCTGAATTTATTAGTCAAAGAACGTGGTAATTGCATATTAGCAAGTAAAGATGAATGCACACGCCATGTTCTTCTCTCAAAAAAAATCTTAAATGCAGTGAATGCCGATGCTGCCATAAAATGTGCCTTCATTGCAAGCTGAGAAGGGTCCCAACCTAAAAATCATTGATCTTATGTCGTGGTGGACAGAAATGAGATGTGCGTGGACGAACATTACAAATAAGTGGAAAATGAACATGCGGCACTTATAAAGATGAAAACCTAACAATGTTAGCGAAGTGTGAAGAGATGCTTGCATTCCTCACAGAGCCAACACGATTTGAAGTCATCCCAGCAGCTTTTATGAAGCGAAATATTCTGGCGTAGTGCGACTCGCTTTCAGGCAAAATCCAAAAAGTAGCTTGCCATCAACTTAACGTATATTGCAACTTCTAGTACACCAACCAGTAACTGCAAACAGAAACCAACTGAAATCACACCACAAAAGTGCGAAAAGCAGGTCGATACAGGCTATGCACACACACACGTTGACCTGTTATGCACTGCTATGGAGGTCGAGCTCTAAAGAAGTAAAAAACAAGAGTAAGCGCGTGTGAGTGGCACGGACGGCGTTTGGCCAATGGTTGCACCAAGCAATGAGGCTAAGCGCAGGAGAGGACAAGAGAAAGTAACAATAGTTGTCCTTACTTTTATATTATTCAGGGGCATTATCGCATCTCTTTGCTCCGTGCCCCCTTACGGCTAATGTCAGCGAACTTGGGACGGGGCAGTGCGAGAAATGCAGCTCTCTCTAGTTAATGTATGTTGCCTATGTCTAGGCAACCATTTAAGTCAAATACAAGAGGTTCAAAAGGTCGCTGAAATCTTCCAGCCATGACCTCTGTTTGTGTATAGGCAGCACAGTCACAGTTTTGATATGCAAATCACCACACACAGAGGTGCACAACTGAGCAGTAGTGCGGATAATTGGGCTAGTTGGCATGGATTCACGGCTTAGACTGGATAAGGCATGCGCGCAGACACCACGATTGCTTCAAGAGCAAACTCTCAAAGTGCTATTGTAATATAAAAATTTGTTCATGGGATGATGGGTGCACTTGCGCATTTGCCCCCATATCTTTTAAGTGAAATGCCTCTGATGGTCTGATCTGGGGGTTTAAATTGAAACATAGCAGCACAAAAAATGCGGGCAGAACTGCACGAAGGTTAGGGCATGTGTGAACTGTCTTTTGTATCCAGCAATCTTCTATCTTCCTGCAACCTCGTATTGATTCATCATTCTGCTTGGCCTATGTATATGTGACCACAGTATAGTGGAACTAAATAAACATCTATTTCACACTTTACAAACAACTGGCTGTAATTCACACCGAAACTTTGTTGTTTTTGGCCTTCGTTGGTTTGGTCGGGACATGTAAGGGATAATAGAAGGCTCTTAACAGGTTCCTTTATTTCATCAGTTGCTGGTCTTCGGGTTTTATCGTATTTAGTAGCTTCTGCGCAACCTTGTATAGGATGAGCTGAAAGAAGCTAGCTCTACTCAGTCTTTCTAATTGATCAGAAAGACTTTCTGCTTTTATCAGAGTATGATTTTTTAATGGCAGAGCTCAGAGAGACATAGAGATTCCCGTGGTAAGAACTTCCAAATGCCCTCAGTTCAAGTCCTTTTTCCTTTTTGAAGATGGCATGTGATGCAATGCAAGTTTAACTTTAAAAACTGAATTTTGTCATCCTTCGAAATTTCCACTGTAAAAATAAAGGGGTGATGCCACCGAATTTCGAGGCTAAAACAAGCCTCTTTTGGGTTTCCTCTGTTGTTCTCCCAACCAAAGCCCATCGCAAGTGCGTCCAGAACTGTTTTAGCTCTGTAGGATGGAAAACAAAAGTTGCAGTGATGTCACACCAGATCTGCTGTAGTGAGCATAGTTGAGAGCAGGTTTACCTGCTCTCAACTAAAGGAGACTAAAGTTTGTCATAGCGCACCCCTTCTCTATTATGCCATTGTATAGGGCGGACCTTGCACCCCCCCCCCCCCCCAAGTCACAGCACCCCCTCCCTATTATGTCAGTGAGTGGGACTGTGTTTGCATCCCCCCTTAACACCCTTCTATGCGTACGTCTATTGTAGTGAGATGAGGGACCTCTGAAGACGGCCATTACGTATGTATGGTCAAAGCATCGCGCGTTTCCTTTGCAGGTGCTTGTGTGACACGTCTATGAGAGAGCAAGTTCTAATAAGCTTGATGTGCATCATATTCTTGTGTGATCACGTGACCAAGCCACATATACTGCCACGCCACAGCCCAATTCAGCGTCCAGCAAGTGAAACTGAAAATAATCCACATAAAAAAGACAATATTTTATTCAGCAATGATAAATTCATCTTGTTGCGTATATCATGCTTCCGGTAGCTATAAGAAATGCTTGCAGCAGAGAACGTGCAAGCCACAAATAGGGGGCACCACCCCTTTAAATCTGTATCCACATTGCCTAAACACCTTCAAAACTTCATTCACACTGTGATCAAAGATATCCAGCCTGATTAACACAAGGAAACCATCAACATAAAAAACTATTTTAGTCGCTACTGCACCTACACTCTCAACAGATGTTGAGACTTTAGCTGCAGTAGCTCAAAGCAGTACCATCTTTCAGCGGTACCTGCTTAAAGATGGTGGAGAAATTGTGTTAGAAAAACTGGCAACCTTATGTACAAAGTGTCTCTTGATCGGAAGGGTACCAGGATCTTGGGACGAGCGCCAACATCATCTTAATCCTAAGGAAAGGAGACGTCAATGACTTGAAAAATTATGAGCTGATCAGCTTACTGTTCGTTCTCTACAAGCTATTTACAAAAATAATAGCTAATAGAATCGGGGTAATGTTAGTGTTCAATCAACCAAAGTACCAAGCAGGACTTTGTACAGGCTACTCCTTAATAGACTATATTCATACTATCAATAAGGTGATGGAGAAATGCGCGGAATACAACCAGCCCCTATACATAGCCGTCATAGATTATGAGAAGGTGTGAGATTCAGCCGAGACATCAGCGGTGATGTAGCATTGTGTAATTAAGGCATCGACAAACCCTACATAATCATTCCTGAAGAAATCTACAGTGGATTCACAGCCACTATAGTTCTCCATGAAGAAAGCAACAAACTCTCAATAAAGAAGGGTGTAAGGCAGGGAGACACAATTTCTTGGTGCTTTCACCACATGTTTACACGAGGCTTTCAGGGTTCTAGATTGGGAAGAGTCAGGGATAAGAGTTAATGGAGAGTATCTTAGTAACCTGCAATTCCCTGATGACATTGCTTTGATGAGTAACTC